TATTTTTTTTTTAAATTACGTTTGCAATAATATGAGATTCGTATGCAATTTTCTATTGATATATATTGATTCAGAATGTTTGAAGAAGTAATAGAATTCTATTTGGAAAAAAAAATGCAATTGTATTTTACAATTGTATGAATATATACATATATATAAATAATTGCATAATAGAGTATTCTGCATTAGTTACATATTAATATGAAGTTTTTTTTTGAAAAAATTAAAATATCTTTATTCGTGACTTTTATTTTATCCTCTATAAACATTAAATCTTAGTCTTTAGATAGATTGTTATTACAGTTTTTTCTACAGCATATTTTTTTCAATAACAAGAGAAATACGAGTTAACTTGACACTGATCAATAACGTTTGAGCATGAATAAACGAGTTTACTCTTGATCAATCAACAATGTGTTAATTGAATCGATACGATGATTGGTATTTTTCATATTTTTTTTCTTTTTAAATCTTGTTAGTTGGCTTGTCAAATTAAAACAATTTGAATTTAAACAAACTTGAAACTTTTTTTATCAATGAATTTGTTATTTATAGTTTGTAATTATAAAATTAAAAATTTCTAATATTTTTCATTTTTTTTTTAAGTAATATTAACTGATTTAAGAAAACTCTAATAGTGAAATTCTTTATTACACATATTATAGTAAATACATTATATTTTAGATAAAATATTTTTATACTAATAGAAAGAGAATTTATTTTGCAATATTATGATTTGTAATATTTAAAAGAAATTAAAAATTATTGAAAATTTTTTAAAAATTAATGATTAAGATCCATTTGCAAAATTTACTAATGATATAGTAAATTGACATTAAAGATACATAAAATCTACATAAATTAACATTAAATTTATGAAATTTTTAAAAATGTTATTATTATATAACAGAATTAGATTGGAAAGTTGAAGTTTTTAATATTCCATTAATATTAAATAATTTAATTATGCAACAGCAACAATTGAATTTCTATCTTTCAGATTTAAGATTAAGATAAGAAGTTAGATATGTTTGTACTATAATTTGCATATATAATACCCATTAATTTACATATTTAATACGAAATATATAAATGCTGTTACTATTAATTCAAGATAAAAAAAATGCAATAAATGAAGCATTTATAAATACTATATGTTAATTTATACTTTTATATGTTATTAAAAATTATCATCTGATTTGAAACATATTAATGAGAATACATATTAGTTATATTGAATGAAATTATCGTTTCAAATTTTTAATTATTAATTTAAAAAAAAAAATAATATTAAGATTAATTTAATATTATTAAATTCCAATTTCATGCAATTTATTTTTCTTGTCCTTTGTAAATAATTTTTTGAATATTTTCTTATAAAATTAATAAAATGCATCGATTAATATATGAAAAAATATATAGTTCCATATAAAAAAAATATTAATGATTTCGAAAAATTTTCATTTTCAAAATAAATACATGACTAAGTTAATAATAAGTTAAAACTATTTAATTTTGTTTTATAACGTTTTTTTTACTGAAATTTTCTACTTAAATTTCCATATTTTAAATATTTAAAAGTTATAAAGGTAAAACTTTTAAAGGTTAAGTTATGTAAAAATTCTTATGTAAATTCCTATTAAATTATATATAATTATATTTCTATTAACTTTTTATAATTACTTCGTCAAATTAATCGAACTTAAACAATCTCAAATCAAATAATTTGATTATACGAATATAAATATAAAAATCGTATAAATTCAATTTCTGAATCGTATTTTAATATTTTCTCCGATTAACTTCAAATATTCGTTTTCAAATTCAAGAACGCATTACGAATCATGTACGAAAAATCATGTAGAAATTAACAAAGATTATAAAGACGCAATGACAGATGGTGAAGTTACTAAAGTGTAAGTTTCTAAAGTGTCTTTTATAGTCCTATCTTTTGAAAGTTTTTAGTAGATCACCAATAGTGCTCTTGTTTAAAATCAATAGCTTGCTTTCACAATTTTTTTGCGAGTGCTAGAAAACTGAAGTGAGTAGACCTAGATCAGGTATAACGGTAATCTGAATTAATATCTGTCAAGAATATAAAGGCATATGATGAAAATATGGGATACAAACATATGTACCATCAGTCTACTCTTTTGCGTTACATTGTGATTCATTGCGCTTAGGTTAATGAACCTTTCGTTATCATAAAATTTAAAAATCCGGTTTAGTTTGCATAATACTTTTGATAAAAGTTAAAATGTGTACATTACGTACGTAATATTTTATATTGAATACTTTAAAAAAATCTTTTCTTTAGGAATATTATTTTTAAATTTTAAAGAATCAAAGAATATTAACATTATTGTGCAGCATGTATTGACCGTTGGTTCGAAACAATGAGTTTGTCATTAGACAGAGACACTAGAGGAATATGTATGCGACATGTTAACACTATATGTGCACTATAACAATGTGCTACGAGATTACCGTATTAACTTCACTAAATTATCAAACTTCACTAAATTACTGCAAATAACATTTAAATTTTTAAGCTCAATTAATATATCAATATTGACCCATATTAAAATATTATTATTTTAATTCAAAATATATGATTATTGTTTTCTACAAATTATCATATCTCTTGTGATTTATTGATTATTGATTTCCATCAGTTCTTTTTTACAAAAAATTTCTACTAAAATAAATTAAACTAACATTTATATTTAATTTCGAATTTTAAATTTATTAATTGTTAATTTAATTCATATTTAAATTTAATAAAAAAAAAATTAGTTAAAGAATAAGATAAAGTTTTTAAGTATTTGAAAAATTTAACAAAATTTATTGATAATATTGTTTTATTTTTTATCTTTTTTTCAAGTAATTTTAGATATGAGGTAAATATAAGCAAAAAAAAAAAAAATAATAATAATAATAATAATAAATTGTTAAAAAATAATAAATTATTAATAAACAACGTGAAAGTTAATATTAAAAATAACTATTATACTAAACTACGCATTCTATAAAATATAAAAATTTTAGTTTTTGCTTTATATTCGAAAGATTTTTTATTATATTAATAATTTTGCGCGTATGAATGTAAGAAAGAAAAAGAAAAAAAGAAAAAAATTTGATGTTTCTATTAATATATTTTTTTATGATTTTTAATAATATCACTCAACTAGCTAATTATAAATCACTATAATAGTCTCTTTGTTGCTCATTTTATTCCATGTTTCAACTTTACCCTTATATTCATACATTACATATATATATATATATACATACAAAAGGCATGTACAATATATACATATATATAGATATATATATCTAACTAAGTAGACTTCCCATTAATGTCTATGGATGTCTCAACCTGCTAAATATAACTGCTGTTTGTCCTGGCTATTTTCTACTCAAGATAAATGGGAATTAAGAATACAGAAAATCCTTTTTTTTCATTGTAATAACAGGCAAGAAAATGCTGAATCTAATTTTTTTTTCTTTTTTTTCATTTTTTAACATTATCGCGATACGTATCCTATGCGTATACGAAGATGAAATTGATAAAAGTCTAATCATATTCAAAATTTCGTAATATGTACGTGCATTAATATATACAAGAGATATATTAAAACAATGTATTGCTATTCCGAATAAGTATATGCACTTATATAAAAATAAAAAAAAAAAGAAAAAAGAAAAAAAAAGAACATTCTTAACTTGATAGGATTATTTTAGAGACAAGAAAATATTTTATATTTTTTAATTCTAACAATCTCTAATATAATTACGAATGATTATTAATATAATGACGATAATAGAAATTCATAAATTTTGTAAGCATTCAAGATGTTATATATATATATATATATATACTAAATAATCATTATTCATTATATATTATATTTTGCAAAAAATAATATAATTTTATTTATTATATGTAAAAATATTTCAATATATATTATTATATTAATACGTTGAATAAAAAAAATATTTATCTTTCATAATAAATATTTTGTAAAACGTAATAAATATTTTGTTTTTTAGGTTAACTTCAGCATTTGACCATTTCTATAGAAATTTATCAATAATTGTACATTAGAAAATTAAAAAACAAAGTCATAAGTTAATGCAATTTATACGAATTTAATTATATGTACATATAATGAATTTGTTATAAAATAATATATATATATATATAAGAATGTGACGAAAAACTATGATCGATTGATATTAGAAAATCGGAAACGAAATATTGGCGCGCTCTTTGTCTTATAATTTAACGACGAATAACATTGAAAAAAAAGCGAATTAGTATTTTGCAAAAATAAAATAGTATCAGAATATATAAATATATTTTTTGTATTTATTTAATAATTTTTTTTAATAAAAACATTATAATATTTAAAAACTTGTTCTTTGAAGCATCAAAATTGTTAATAGTCTTTTTAATAAAAATATTTTATATTTTAATAATATTTATTGTATCTATTATTAAACTTTTATTATGATAAGTACGAATTATATTTCAAATTTATATTAATAAAATAAAAACTGAATAATTTTGTATATTTAAAACATTCTAATAAAATTTTTTTAACTTTTTTTTAACTTTAAATGTTAACCTAAAAAAAATTTATGTATGTATTCGTTTTTAACATATAAAATCCATTAACCCAATATATTAATAATCATATAAAATTTCAAAATATAATATTAAATAATATTTAATTAATACAATTAACAATTAGCTTATTAAAAAAAAATGAAATACTTCCATCGATTATCTTAAAATAAATTTATATACTTATAACATGGAGGTTATTTATAGATACCTATAACTATATTTAGAATAGGGTATTTTTATTATACCTAAAGAAAGAAATATTTTCCCTGAATGGATATGCCATGAAATGAAATGTAAAATGTAGATCCTATCTTATATCGTAGATAAAATTTATACACTATATATTGAAAATTTGATCGAGACTTACCTTTAAGCGTGCCAATTTTCCTTCTCTCACCACATTATACATGACATTTTTAATATCCATTTCGCATAAAATCAATTATCGCATACAATGCCGTTGAATAACACTATTTAACCTTCGTATCGTAGTTCTTTCTGTTCACGGCTGGTATTTCTCCTTGTTGAAAAGCACGGCAAATACGTTGAATAGTCTTGTTCGTCACTCGCGATCTCTTTTATCGAAAATCACAGCAGTGACTCATCTCATGTTGCGAATAAGAGACGAATGAAATAATGTCCGAATGATCAACGATTACCGCTAATGTTTCTCACTTCTCGAGAGCAGTTTTACAGTTAGATACGCGCGCGCGCATATACACAAGCATCGGATCAATTCCTCTCTTCAAGCGTCTTGTTTCGGTCGTTTTGCGAATGCACCTCTCATTCGGTCATCAGATGGCGATACCTGTACTTTCACTTCAACAGTTCATCAACAACTAAGCTCAAGTTGCCAACTACATTGAATCATTCGTTTAATACCAGATGCTAGCTGTTTACTATTTCTATCTCTGTTCTCTTTTTATTTCTGGTTAAATATATTTCACTTATTTCATATTTAAAATTATCAAAATTGTATATTAAAACGTGCAATATATTACATTTAATTTTTTGATGATTAGAAAAAGTTAATAATTTATTATTATCGTATATTATTTTATAATGAATGAAAAAGTTTTCTATCTTTGTCATTATTATCTTCATTTATATAAAAAATCTTAGTTCGAAGATTTGTCGATAGATGGCAGCACAATGCAGTTTTGAGAAATGTCGATAATAAAATGTGTTTTTTCTTATATATATATAATTTAAAAAAAAAAAATTTGTTGTTGTATTTATTATAAATATTGTTATATTTTCTTATCTTAAAATTTTTTAAATATAAATAATAAATATATTATTGTTTGTATCTTTATCATAAAATTAAAAATTGTTTTAGTTAAAAATTATTTTTTAACAATTAAATACAATAAAATTATATTTTTTACGTTTTTATAAAATTTCAAAATATTGAAAATTCTCAAATATTCAAAAATTTCCAATGTTAATTTATTCTGTATTTTAATTTATTGCTATTATAATAACAAACATCATGTATTTGTATTATCAATTTTATTGATTATTAATCAAGAATTATAATCTATATGAAATTAAAAATTTAATATAAAAATAATATTCAAACATTTGAAACGATATGAATTTAAAAGAAAAATGTATATAAGTTTTTTATATAATTTCTTTTTGTCAAATATTTATTATATATTTTTAGATATTTATTATATTATATTTTCAAAATTATTTACATTATAAGATATAATTATCGCTTGTAATAATAAAAATATTTCGTAAATATAATCTAGATATAAATCTAATAATAAATAGATATATCATTAAAGAAAATCGCATTATAAAAAATATAACTTTTTATTTTTTATTATTTTCTATTATTTCCATCTAAAAATTTATTGTAATGTTATTAATATTTAAAATATTTAATAAAACTAATAAATTTCATTTTATTTATATATTAATAACAAATTATATATAAATTATTTTTATAAACAATTTTTTAATGATCCATCAGTTATATTTTTCTATAATTTGACAATAGAATATGTTACTTTATATCCATTAGAGCATTATTTGCAATTGTTAGAATAAAAAAAAGAACAAGGAAAAAGTGAAATAGTAGAACTGAGGGAGTCATTAAGTCGGCACTTCACTTTCGATTTTAACGCCTCGAAGTGACGCACTCTTGCATCAAGTGCGTTTTAGTTCGTCCTACATTTTCGCCAATATCAGAAGCATTACTTTATTCCAGTCTCAACACTTTCGACAGACTTACGTCAGTAGCCTTTGAGCTTACCTCAATACCTTTCTTACAAAAGAATACTATTAACGAAACGCTGATATTTGTTCTTGCCAATTATCGATTAGTAGTTCTAAAGATCGATTAACTTTAAAGTTATCGATTCTGTCAAACATGTCGCACATATTAGTCGTACATACATAAATATTATAGGTTAGTTTCTATATATCTTATATAAATAAAATTTATATATCAAAGATGTAAATTAATGATAGAAAATATAAGTAAAATTAATATAAGAAGAATATAATTTATATAATATTCTATTAAGATCTCATAATATCTCTTTGAAATGTTTATGAATTTTAATTGTTCTATGGATAATGAACGATATAAAAGGTATGTCCAATATTAAAATATATATACGTACTTAAATATATGTATAATGATCACAAATATGAAACATATGAAAAACAAAATGTTTAAACTTTATACTTGATTTACAAGATATGTTCTATGCTAACATCTTTATTTTTATATGTACATAATTACGGTAACGTTTGCTTTCCTGTAATCTTAGATAGCTCGAAATATTACATAAAGTAATTTAATTAAAATCTTTTCATGAAATGTAAAAGTCTATTTTACTATTTATTATAAAATGAAGAAAAGAATCATCATTAAAATTACAACATTAAAATTACCAGAATCTTTAAATTATCTTTTTTTTAGGCAATAAACAAAATATTATTAAAATAATCAAATATATCATTTTACAGAGATTAACATTACAACCATAATTTATATCGCAAAAGCTATAATACCAAACGTTTCGCTATAATACCAATTATCGAAATGGAGAGAAGTTAAACGAGAAGGCGTCAGTGTTTCGTCTTGTTGCTTTCTTTTCTTTCCCAGCCTGCGCATTGCCTGTTCATACAACGAAAGGATAGGCGGTGTAAAAATGAGTATAGAAAAGGGCGCGTGGGTGGTAGATGGGTCAGAGACAGAATGAGATGGCTGATAGATGGAAAAAGAATCCTGAGTGTATGTGAGTGTGCGCGCGCGTTTGCCACAGCATGTATATGAAAGAACAGCTGGAAAAAAGGTGTATACAATACAAACAGTACTGTCACACCGAGCTTCGCCAGAGGAATGAAAAACAGTCACCAAGTCTTCGTAAGACTGGCGTTTTCGGTGACAAGACCAGTTGGAAGAATAAGAAATGAGTCTTATAACAGTAACCGATACGAAAGATTATTTGAAAATTATAAAACTCTGATCACGTATATTGTGTGAGGTTATGTTAGGTTTAAAGTCTAAATATTATTTTTTACATATTTAATTTATATATTTAATTTAAAAATTCGAAAACTTAAAAATTTAATAATTTAATAATTTGAAATTTATTTTCGTAGCAGTTAATCGAATAATAAATACGATTGATATTATAAATCAAACATTTGTTATTCGATTAATAAATAAATATATATATTTAATGATATACATTTAACGATGTACATTATAATGATGTACGTAAATATATTGTTCGTTCTTAAAGTTCATTATCTTGTAACTCAACAGAAAACTACTCCATGATTTCCTTTGAAGACAGATGTCGTTGCGTTCTTCATAACGGCTTGCCAAGATAAAAACGGAATTGAAAGAAACACGGTACAGAATAAAGAACTGCAAAGTTATTTGAAGAACATAACTCTGTTACTCTGAAAGAAAGCTTCTTGTATTATACATTCGAATTATGTATGTACGTTTCGCGTGCAATAGGTAAGTTATCTTGTCAGTCGTAACATACGCATAATTGGTACTTGCAAGGAATTCAAAGATATATGTATAAGCCACAATAAATCCATCACAAAAGAAAATAACTAGTTGGTTTTTCCGCATGCTACAAAGACTTTAAGTTAGTCCGCTTATTGCGATTTAGATTGGATCAAAAAAGGAAAGTATTACTTTTAAAGTTTGGTTTTCATTCACATCATTATGATATAAGTAGAAACATCGTTAAAAAAACATAATTAAGTTATTGGGATAAAGCAATCGAAGAATGCTGTAACGTTTGTACGCCGATAATCCATATAAACAAGGCATGACAAAGGAATCCCTCTGCTACCTAATTACCATACGAATATTGAGCGAACATCGTCTGTACTGTGAAAATACGATATCGCGAACATTTCAAACACTCGAGATAAGACCGTTCTATCCCATTAACCAGTTCCTTTTTTTATCTTTGATGAGAGATGTAGCTCGGCAACGAATCGTTCCCCGTAGCAAGAATGATTATCCGAACTGTTCGCGTGTTTTACAGGATTTTCAGGGGTTCGTGTTCACCGGAGTGGTGCAAGTTAGATATATAGAACCTTTTACGATGCCGATAGTAGATGATTCCAGCGTGGTATAGCCTAAGAATGGCAGTACTCTTTAGGGAAGCAACTTAAAGGCGACTCGTGCCGACAGTGCTTCCAGCAAATACGGAGTTTTATATTTAAAACATTCTAGAGACACGCTCCATTGTTCTATCTTCGCATCAACGTAATATCGTCTTACGTTGCTCCTCTCTTTAATACATCGTTGCATGCGACTTCGTTGTATAACTCAACAAAAGATATACCTATCGATTTTCTTGACAACAACTTTCAACTGTAATACATAGACCGTATTTGCTCCAATTACCGGCGAAATTATGAAGGCCTCCGACATTCGTTGGTTCGTTATTAGTCACGCGATAAGAAACCAATAATTTTGCATGCGTACGCAAAAACGTTTACGTTGCTCCGTTATTTCTTTGGTCGCATGATTTATGAGAAAATTAATTAGATGATATTCGCGGTGAACGACAATTCGAGCGTAGAGAAAAAAAAAAGTAAGAGACGGCGAGCTTTCGCTTTAAGTGCTTTAAATAAACGATTAATCATCGGTGTAATTATAACGAAGATGAGAGGAGGGAAGTGGGATCGCGCGGCTTCCACGATTTCATTCACCATTATCGATACATATTATATACCTATATACATATATTATATGTATATAGTATCAAACTATCGATGAAACGAAATTGTACGAGGCGAGTTATTATTTTAAGAAACGCATTGCTTCCTCTCTGTCTACACGACGCGACGCCAGAGGAAGTTCCGCGAATATATCAGCTAAAGGTTTCCAATTGCATTTATGGCTTTTCTCTCTGTCTCTTCCTCCCTTTCTATCCCTCTCTATTCCTCTTTCGCGCGCTTCTTGCGTATACCGACAAATAGCATTTCGTTTCTGTGCACAAGTCGTTTCTTTGCAACCTCATTGCACGTTGCGTCCGTGTGGGTGACCACCGGTGCTACGTAAATATGGTTATACGACGTTGTACGTTGATAATGAACGCGCGCGTGTTCGTGCAAAAGTGTAGTGGGCTGCGGCTTGTGGTAAGGGCTCGGAAGAGGGATCGAGAACCGAAGCACAATGCACCAAAGGTGGGAACAAGAGAGGGAGAGAGAGGAAAAGAGATGGAACTGGAGGGAAAGACAGTGTACATGTACGTTGCGTTTACGGTACGCATACACCACGCGTAACACGTTCATGGATGCTTGTGCGATGGTACTGACAGTCGAATAGAAATAAGTAAATGAACATATACGTATATATACGTCGTGTCATTTTTTGTATGTGATTTACTTAACGAGAAATGGACAGACTTGCATGCCAAAGTATACAAATTTATCACTTTTGAAGTGAACGATAAATGTTGCACATTTTTACATGTTTTGTCACGATGATTTATACAATGATAATTTAAAGATATATTTACGCTTGACTTCTTGATTTGAACAGTATTTAAGGTTTTACATCGATTGTTTTATGATAGTTGATAAAATATTTAAAAATAAAAAGAAAAAATATAAAATAAAAAATATCAATTTTGTAGATTAAATCTGATTTGATGTAGTACAAAGGATTGATGTATGATGAGTGGAGTACAAAAATTTTTAAAGACAAATTAAGCAAATGTTTGAACAGATTTAAATTGGTCAGATTTTAATGTACAAGTTGTCAAAATAAAAAAATTGTTCAATGACTTTAATTGAATAAGTTCGAATCCCGAAATTGTGGCGAGCAAAATCATATTAAAGAAAATCGAAGTAACGATGAAGTTTTCTTTCCTTTAATCCGCTCTTTCAAAGCTCTTTGTCGGAGTTCCCTTCAAAAAAATGTCAGTCTACCGTTGCAATGTGGATTGAATGAAATCCTGTGGAATGAAATCCTTCGGTACAACGGAGGGTGCGCCCTGTGCTTCACAAACTAGTTTTATGATATCCCACCGACACCTACCATGCTAATCCACCCACAAAGTTTTCTTCAGCTGTTTACTCGCCTCCTGGCTACACCTCTCCGTCACACCGCTATATAACTGCTATCGTGGATATAACATAATTTTCCTCCTCGAACTACGCGAATCGATACAATAAATGCAGCAGATTCCAAAGGGCGAAGTAACAGCAATTTCAGTCGGCGTTTAATCACGCGATATTTCATTTATCCTCTATATATTACCGAGGCTAAATGTTTTACGGTTATTGCATTCTTGAAATTGATGTGTCAATAAACAGAATAACGCTCGTACAAAGGTGTGCTAAATTCATTTCACGATATCGTCATTGACGTGTTATCAGTACGACTGTTTCCTTGATAAAAATGCGTCTCGAGCCTCTTATCCTTGTGGACCTTCGTTATTGTTAATAAAGAATTTCTACGATTGTACGTACATATTTTATCTATAAACCGTTTCGTATTTTGCACGATGAGAGAGAGAGAGAGAGA